AGTGATATATGTGGGCATATTCTTTTAAATAGCGTTCATACTAATAAAATCCATTAATATTTTAGAATGACTAATTGTTGTTTTCTTACAGATCTTATGTAGATTACGCCGTCTGATATGACATCATATCTTGTCTTGACAACTTGAAATGTAAGCAAGGGTATTTTTTTCCATTTAATAACAGACAATAGGTTATATTTCAACACTTTAATACAAAGTAGGAAAGAACATGACGTATGCAATAAAATACTTTGCACATACTCAATATTTTGACAAATATGATCCTTCAAAAATGGACTATTTGACCAGAAAACATGTCACAACCAAGCAGAAAAGTCTCCTCATTATGTTTAAATGTCACATTGTCTTCTGATTCTGAAAACAAATTTAAGATAGTGTATTTCAGTGAAGATGCCATTTTCAGTATTATCCTCCCTCACATATTCAATTACTTTAGAAAAATATTTATACTCTTTGAAATAGCACATCAAATGAATATTACAGGGAAAATATTAAGCATTAAATGAACCGGTCACTTATTTTCTCAACAATTCAATGTTGGTAAGCATGACTAGACTGGAATGGCTTAGGAACCAAAAGAAAGATCCTATTTCCTATAACTATGAAGCACAACCTGAAGATTAACCCTTTGTAACATTTGAGCATCCCAATAGAAACAAAACATAAAGAGGAGGATAATGAATTATGCCCCATAATTTCCTTATTCTTAGTCACAGTGTCATTTTACATACATTCATAAATTATATTTACCAAATGGTTAGATAGCCAATTTACATATCTCACATATGCTATTGGTGAGTTTCTCTCTGCTTTTAGTGGCTTTACTCAGAAAACACAAATATTGTGTATTGTGTGGGGCAGTTATGTCTAGCATAGAAATGTGGAAAAACAGGAACAGACAGACACCTAAATGTACATTTGTGATATGGTACATTTTAAGATTAAAATATAATATTAAAGTGAAAGGGATAAAAACCATCAACCTGGGCACATTGCTTCACAAGGCACACTACATGAGCATACTCAAACATGACTGACTTTATATGTACCAATGTCTGGGGCAAAAAATGACAAACAAACAAATGTAGATGACCACCTTGGCCTTTACAATGGATTTACACTAACCACAGTTATTTCCAATATCGTATACATAGAAAAAAAACAATAGCTAAAAGTCATACTTGTATCTATTCTAGTTGACTCTTAATATATTAATCATTTCAAAACTATGTAAAAAATTTTAAACCTTTGCTTTTGCCATTTGTGAACAGTGCTTGTCTTAGTTTTCTACAACTTTGGGGTAGACACGAGCAGGCAATAATAACATTAAAATCATGGAAAAATAGGTTTGTCTCAGTTGTAATCTAAGATTTGGTATTGCATGAAGATTTTGAAATTAAAGGAAAAAAAACTAGTAGTAGTTGAAACACTAACACAGTCTCAGCTTAGAAATGTTGTTGTACACTTTGAGATGAGAACCCTTGATGCTGTAATTTAGCTTTATCCATCAAACAAATAGGCATAAAATCCTCTTGAAACAGGAGCATTATGTTGCTTTACTCATCAAGCTAATACTTTATATAACCTGGTTATGTGCCTTTTAACCCAAGCTTCTGAAACATGCTCAATCAACAGCAATAGAAACAACCTCACAAAGGTCAACAACTCCAAAAAAAATCATAATCAAACATGAACATTGGCTGTTTTCAGATAGTATCGAGCATGATTCATGTGTCTCACATTCCCACCATTGACAACAGAAACAGGCAAATTCAGGTTAGCATAAGACTTTTGGCAAGCAGAACAAGGATTCCTTCTTATGACAAAGGAAGAAACTCAGAACCAAATACCTGCTTTGTACAACATTAAGCATTCTGTTGAAACTCTATTGGCAGGGAGCATTCGAGTGCCACTAAAAATCACATTCAAAACGGAGGGCATTTTAACAAGGGGTAATGGGTTTTGTGTTATATTCTGATGCGTTACACAGGACAACATACTGGAATGTTCCCTATGATGGATACGGATTATGTACCTTCTTTAACAGGAATTTCCCTATGTTTATGATCCTATGAGGAGATCTGAGCTCAAAGACAGACATGTTAGACTGACTGAAGGTCCACATCCAGTAGTGTGGCACCTACAGTCATTTTGTTCTCATAGGCTTTTCTGAGATCCATTATAAAACAGTAGAAAAATATATTTACAGTCATTATTCATACAGCCGAATCTTTGGACAGTGTCGTTAAGAGGTTTCTCGGGATATCCAGCCACTCTCCGACAAAAAATTCAGAATCCGTTTTTTCAGCACCTTGTCCAGGTAGCTGGGTAGGCGGCTTTTCGAGGGAATGCCCTGCCGTTTCTGTAAGTGATCTTTGATGATGATAGTCTTGACAGTCAGATAGCGCGTAGGACTAAGGTTCATAGAGTTGCACAGTACCTTCTCCCGATCCGACAGCATCTCAAAGCCAGACAGGTTCTCGATAGCTGAGAACTCACTGTCCTTCCCCTCCTCTTTAATGGCACTAACTCCTCCACCGCCGCCAAGCCCACCGCCTGCTCCAACCCCCCCTCCAAGCCCGGCCACTCCTCCTCCACCACTGCTGCCTCTCTTTGAGCCTGCAACACTTTTGTTCTCTTTCCGTTTTTCCCGTTTGTGGCGTGCTGCCTCATACTCGGCCGACTCGTCGAGTCTCGTGATGCCATTTCGCCGATAACGCTGAAGCTCCCGAACTTTCGCCCGTAGCATGCGCTCTTTGTGCATGTTATCGAAGAATTCTTCAAACTCACGCTGCGGCATGAACTGGCAAAGACCACGTAGTTTGGTCCGTTGCTCCTTTTCTTCCTTGGTGATTTTGCGTTTCGGGGTCGCTCCCGCAGAGGAGCCAAGCGGCCCTGTTGGAATGATGGTGGTAACGCCCCCCAATCCAAGAGCACCACCTGCACCCACAACCCCTCCTGTTCCACCCGGTCGTTCTCGCTCTTTATCTTTTTTGTCCCGTCCCAGAAAGGCTGGCACTAAATTGTAGTCACGAGCGATGTTTTTGCGGCGCTGGCGCTCACGCAGCTTCCGCACATACATATCCACGTGGGCTCGCTTCATCTCAATCTCAATATCTTCATCGTCGTAGTTTACAGACAACCCACTGATGAGTTTCTCTGCCTCCTGGTCATATTCAATCTCGTAGTCGTCCCGAAGCGGCATGTATCCAAGCTGCTGCTGCTCCACTACAGATATGTCTAGTGGGGGCAATGGGGTAGTCAAACTAGGAGACAGCGGACCTCCACTCGGGCAAGTGTGGTCTGTCACGCGGTTGGGGATGCTGTCAGGGATGCAGGCTTTGCCCAGATTACCATGGATATACATGCTGACATAATGGTCCATGACCTCCTGAGGGGTGCGTGATGCACCTACATGGGCTGCCATATCCTCCTAACACACACAAATAATCAAAGTTAAAGGGTTAGTTTATCTAAAAAGGAAAATTCATCATCAATTACTCACCCTCATGTTGTTTCAAATCGACAAGACATTTGTTCATCTTCAAAACAAACATTTGTGAAGATGACAGTGTATCTTTAGAAGACTTCAGAATCATGTGTAATACGTTTAGAAAAAAATGTTATACATTTATGATGACATGGACTTTCAATGAAGGAGCAAAAATCTCTCAGGTTTCATTTAAAATATCTTTATCTGTGTTTTGAAGATGAACAAAAGTTGTATGCACTTGGAACAACATAAGAGCGAGTAAATGATTACAAAATTATATTTTTTCGGAGAACTATCCCTTTGACATACAGCCAGGTAATAATAATGTGACAGTTACAAACATAAATATTACTATTAAGTTACTACAAATATTACCGAATCAACAAAAAGCTTTCGGTACAAGTGCACACAGTACAGTTTGTTCTCTCAATGTATATATATTATAATAATATTATATAAGATCTTATCAATGACAAAAATTGTAAAACCACAGAACTAGAGAATCTGCTAGGTTCTTTAAAAAAATACTTTCTCTAAGTTTCTTCATTGAGAAACATGCATCATTTGTTTTTTTATTGCAATGCATCAGGCTACTTGTATGGAGGTGCACATTTGGCAATAAAATGGAGGTTTATTAAAGCCGCATAAATATGGACTCAATTGAGCATCGTACCCAGTTACCAAATCCATATTGCTCGATGGCATCGAGCAGCGACTGTTCTTCCCTGCTAGTCCATCCTCCCTCTGCTTCGGGACCCCACAGCGAAAAGCGCCCGCCGTCAACTTGCTGATAGCCATGCCATCGTCTGTGGTTGCCGATTTCGGCACCCGCGGAGAAACACTCCGGACAAAGTTCAATATCTTGACATTCGGCACAGCGAATCCGCAAATTCGTAACATCTGCCAGGCAGTTCACACAGTACTTCTTGCCTACGTCGGCCATATTGCTTACTACCGCTTGTTGTTGGGAGCAGCAGTGGCGCGGGGGAGGACATGCGCAGTGGAGTATCACTGGTCACGCCGCTGCGTCTCATTAATATTAACAATAACACAGCAATGGCTTGTGATTGGCTTTAGCTCTGGTGTCCATGGCAACACAGACACAAAATAGTTGAGGCAAGCGCTGTTTCTGTTTCGTAAGATAAACGCTGGTTATTTTAGATACATTACAGGTAAATATTTTTAGGTGAATAAAAAAATATTAAATTTTAAAAATCGTGTGTAAATTCAACTAAATAAAATGGAAGAGGGTTCATTTAATCACGAAGAAAGCCCTGTTTTAGAAAATAACATGCCGGTGGAAAACACTGACACGTTTGAGGATCTAACAGAGGCAACAAGTGCACACGAAATGGAAGAAACTGAACTTCCTAATATTTCAGAAGTTGTTGAGGATGATGTGGTCGAGCAGGGTTCACGCCTCTCATTGGGCGTCCTCACAGAAGACAGTGCTGAGACAAGTGGACCACAGCAGGAAGAACCGAGTCTAGGCAACATATGATAACAGAAAAAAAGGATGAAATAGAACTTATAAATGAGAACTCGGAGGAGACTGGTGATCCTGAAATAGAACATTTCATTGATGATCTTCTATCGCGTGAGGGCACTGAGGAGGAGGAGGAGGAGGAGAGACTTCTAACTCCTGACCAAAAAAATGAGAGGACCAGTCCGTCCAATGAATCACTCGTTCCTGCAGAAAAGGAAGAATCTGCCCTACGGATCAACAATAAGGAATATATGGATCAGCTACATGAACTACAGGCTGAGAATGAAGAGCTTAGACAGCTAAATGGTCAGCTGCAGAAGAAAATAGCGGAATACCTCAGCAAGAAGACAAGTGCCAAACTGGAAGGAGAAATCTCAGGACAGGAGCAGTACCAAAGGTACATGGAGCTCATGGAGGACAAGAGAGGGCAGCACCACCGTGACTCAGAGCTCCACCAACAGCAGACTAAGGAGCTCCGCCAGCAGAGCTTAGAGAAACTGAACATGGTGAACCAGGAGTTTAGATCATTTGATAAACTGAAATATGAAGCTGCCATGACAGCCCTGACTGGTAAGGTGGGCAAACAGGCAGCACTGGCAAAGGTGGAGCAGCTGCAGGCTGATGGACTGAAGCAGGTAGACAAGCTGGCATGCGTGCGTCTCAACACTATCAAGCTCAAGAACAAAATATGTCAGATTGAGATGGCACTTAGATCCAAACGGGAGCTGGCTGATGGCTTGCTGCTGATGGACTTTGAGCAGCTCAAAGCAGAGAACAAGACATTTAAAGAAGAGATGCAGGAGCGCAACGAGGAGCTACGTATTCTAAAAACGAAGGTTTCCTGCGCTGTGCTGGTAAATCACTTTGTTTAATTCCTGAAAACATCACCTAAACATCCTTCATTCTTTCTTTCTTTCTTTCTTTCTTTCTTTCAAATCATATTGAGGAGTGAAATTAGTTTTGTGGTCATCATCAGGATGTAAAATTTCCACACATTTCTTTGTCCCTCAACCTCAGGGCATTTCTCATGTGAAAGAGAAGCTGCACTTCATGGAGATAGAGAAAAAGGCCAAACACACTGAACTTGCTAAGGCAGAGAAATTGGTGGCTCTTAAACGTGAAGCACTGATACATACCCGACTGGTTCGTGATGACCTACGGGCAGACAATCTAAAGCTGCAGCAGCGCTGTGGCCTGCTGGGAAACACCAGACTACTGCGGGACTATGAGGAGAAGGTTGACACCTCTGAATGCCTGCAGCAGAGACTGGAGATGTTAAAAAGACGTCACGCTGAGCTCATGCTGAAGTGTGCCGGAGTGAAGCAGAAGATTGAGCAAAGCAAACCAGAGTCCCAGTGACTTGACATGTGCACTTTGTGCCCCTTAATTGTAAATGTAATGTGTAACTTGACAAAGAAACATAAACAAGAGGGAAAATGTCTAGTGAGAAATACTGAGAAATAATACTTGTCATCAAATGTAGCCTATCATCTTAGCATTGTTGTTTTTTTGTTGTGATTTGCACAGTGCCAGCAGATGGCGATATTTCTTATGACTTACCTTGCCAGCTAATTGTCCTGTGTTCTAAAAAAATCTGATATCACTACCTGATATTTTGGCATCTGTTGATATTTAAGCCTATTTAAAATAAACAAGTGCTTATAAAGGTTTGTGGTTAACAAACAATGTTAACCACACTGTTTTCTGATCTAGTTTACTGTATCAATAATTCACAAAGGCAGCATTATTTGACAAAACTACTAAGACAGTAAGAACATGTACATGGTCAGAGAAGATTTTACTGCTGAGCAACCTGCATCAGTGCATGCTCTAATAACTGAAAGCATCAGTTTAAGGATTGCATGTCTGTATTTAAATGCTTATACAGATATGTGATATAGATGAATAAATAAACAACAACAAAAGGTAACATATAGTCAGGTTGGGTTGATTATTCATACTTGGACACAGACCTATTAAACATCCTACTACCTTAACCTTTTAGAATTCCTGCCAAATTAGCCTAAAACGCCTAAAAAGGCCTATCCAAAGTTATAAAGCAATCTCATGTAGGGGTTTTCCCAGAAGAGAGATTCCGCTATCACCATGGTAAATGAAAAGAAACTCAATTAGTTCATATTCATCTGCTCACCATTATTCTGACTGTTCCATTACTCACTGTCAATAAATACCCTGTTTGGGTTTAACCTTATCTCTGTCTCCGAGTCTGGTGTTCCCTGACAGTAGACGAGACCATATACCAACATGAACCCATCAGGGTATTCACCTGTCCACCACAGTGACCTGCTCCTATCCCTCTCATAAGCTGGCCGCCCCCTAGAAGACCATGTGGAGGAGTTCCTCAAGCTGTCCCATCTGGTGTCCTGAAGCAACGACACTCTGAAGACAGTCTTTTAGAGTGGGTCGGATAATCATCTGTTCAAACATCTACCAGTGGGAACTACCAACTGTACCCTTAAACGATGTAGAATATGTGGCTGAGTGGTTCCTCCCTCACAGGCAAATTGGATGAAGACATCGCTCCTCAGTTGCAGGCTCTACAGCCCCACTCCAGTCCTCCTGGTCCGTCGGTCTTCATCTCAAAGATTTCAAAGGGACTTCCTCCCAAGTCCCTTTCTATCCCTCTCCACACCTGAGAGTGCCAGCGAGAAGAATACTGCAGGGCATGGGCTGATGCAGTTGCCGCAGGACAGCCAATAGGCACGCAAGCAGCCTTGCCTGTTTCTGCATGCTGCCGCAACACGTTTTACAGTAATTCAAATTAACGATCATTTTGGCCTCAATATCTCATGGAAAAGAGGTTTTTCCCCTAGCGTAAGATATTACGCAGTACTCGTTCCCCTTCTAGAGAGAACCGAGGTTACGTTAGTAACGAGTACGTTTTTTCTTATCAGTTAATGTATCAGTTATCAGTTAATGTTTTCTTATCAGTTAATGTTAAATTAATGTTATTGCATTTTTTAAATGTTGTTGTGTGTAATGGTCCATAATGGTGTTTAGTGTGTGTGTTTTGTGTGAAGTCTGTGCAGCTTTTGTATATCAGTATTAACCGTCTTGTAGAAGAACTGCTTGTGATGAGCTTTGATTGATCCTGTAACTCATCACTTCTGTGATTGGTGGTTGCTCATTGCTCGTTTTGCACACCTGTTAGTCCAAAAACAATAATAAAAAAAAATACTAGTAAGAGGTGTAAGTTAAAGACAGATCCAAAATATCCATCTAAATACAACCTGCTAATGAGTTGTAATTTTTATGTGAGATCATTAACATGGATCTCTTATAGGCTAAGTTAAAGGGATAGCTCACCTAAAAATGAAAATTCTGTTGTTGCAAANTGTGAGTGACAGGTTGTCCCGTCCTCACGTCGAAAAACGCATCATCAGAGAAGAGATGTTGTTAAGAGGGTGGGGGAAGTTATTTTGCTTAAAGATCATGAGAGTACATGATTTTTTTTTTATGTGCATACATAAATCGTTTATAATAACTATTTCATAAAAGACATCTCAGTGACTTTAAATTGTAATAATATTACACCATATTACTGTTTTTAACTGTAATTTTGATCAAAGAGATCAAACTTGGAGACCATAAGAGACCTCTGTTAAAAACATGAATATGTTTCTGTACAGGAATGAAATCTTAATTATCCCAAACTTTTAACCAGTAGTGTACAGCATTGAGCCACAATAACAACACACCTGAACTTTAATGAGAATTTCCTTCGCTTTCAGAGAAGATGAATTTGTTATCATATCTGGCTAATGGATTTACTTTATCCTTTTCTGTTCTCTGTTCGTGTTTGATGAATTCACTATGGAAATTACCACGGAGGCCTACCAGGGGTCCGTGGAGGATAACACACAGTACATATTAGGGAGGATGCGTCTCCCTGTGCTGAACGGAACTAGGGAAATAAGTTCTCATATCAAAACCACACATACATGGCCTCCCCAGAGATGGTGTGAGAACAGAGCCAGACAGGGATAGTGAGAGAATGGAAGCAAAAACAGGGACAGTGAGAGGCAGACGGGGGCCCTGTTTACACCTGGTATTAACATCTGTCTTGATGTCAGCCAAAATAGATTTCTGTTTACACCTAGTTTTAACATGTGTCTCGATGCAACGACTAATTGGATTTCACTGAAGGAAGGGCAGTTTTCTTTTCCTTTTCTGTTCAAGCAAGATGGAAAAAGACAAGGTGACAAGTTTTGTAATCAATACGATATTATGAAATAATATTCTTAACAAAATAAATACTAAAAATAATAAAAAAAATGTAATTGATCATTTAAATCATGAAATGTATAATTGTTGATAAATATTATAATAAATAATGTAGACTATTTTACCTGTCTATTTGGACATACATTAACACTGCACAGCTGTTGAATGCTTTAATCTGATGGGTTGACGGATGTTTTAAGCAGACAGTGGTTTAAGTTGTGCAATTATTTTTTGTCGAAACGCAAAGCTAAAGTAATTCCAGACAAATCTTGACCGCATTATAGATCACTTCGCCAAAAACAAGATTTTTATATATATAAAAATTACAAGACATAAATGAGAAAATCAGTTAGATTTCATTTAGCCTATTCAAATGTTTGTTTCTTAAGTCACAATTAAGCACAAGTCAAATTGAAAAAAGGGAGAGAAAGGCAACTATCCATTGATAATGTAACTGGAAAAACAAGAAACGTCTGGTTTTCATTTTTGCATTTGCATTGTATATGGTCCGAAAATTGAATTGTGAAGCGTCAAACGTCGGACCGCCCATCTCTTAGCTCCGCCTATAGCTACCAACCGGCTGTTTCTGAATGTGTGTGTGAAAAAGGCATAGAATTATCAAACCACCAGCAAACAACCCGACCTTATTCCAGACAAAGACTGCGTAACATTAACCATTTACCCAGGTAATTCTCACTACATTTAGTACAGTTAACTCCTTAGCAGTTCCAGAAAAAATCAGTCGGAGCTCGAGGCCTAGGCTAAGTGATATGTTTTGCCAAGTAAAGCGGCGGGCACGCGCTGTCTCATTCAAATCCATTTATTAGACATTGAAAACGAAGACATATTACACACACACACACACACACACACACACACACACACACACACACACACACACACACACACACACACACACACACACACACACACACACACACACACACACACACACACATTATCAGTGAATGAGACCCAGCGAGGACGGAGAATAGTGTTTTTGAGTGGATTAATTCACTTGTCAGCACACCTGACCTGCATGGGTCAGGCCAGGTAACTCAGAAGGCAGTAAACTCTCAAGAACTTGTTTTAAGGATAATGCGGTATTTACGGTATTATATCCTGTTGATGCACCCTACTACTAGAAGTAATCTATTTTATAATCTATTATTATTTCAAAATAAATTAATGGAAAAAAATGCTTGGATACATTAAATTAAACAAATGTAATCAACTGATCAGTCTTCGTAATATATATATATATATATATATTTTACCAGTCGATCGTTAATCAATCAGTGGCAGATGGGACCTGGCTGTGACTGATGGAGGTCATAGTTTGTTTGCTGTCACCAGCAGATGGCGCTCTGTCAATGCCACATGGGAGATGTGGCTCTGCTTTCTTATGCAAAACTGTTTCAGTTCCCTCTGGGTCAATGTGAAGACGGGTTTGTGTCTTGGATGATCTGCTTGTACAGAGCTCAGTCAGTTAAAATTACATTTCATATGCATGTCACTTCTTTTTTTTTTCTTCTGTTGTATCAATCTGTTATTAAACTAAACATCTTTCTCTGGTTAATTCTTACCCTGCAGAGTTTGCCGTTCTTTTCATTAAATAACCCGGCTGTGGAGGTTTTTTAAAAAAAAAAAAAAAAAAAAAAACTGCATTCCTTTTTTTCTAGCACATTGAAATAAAATTTGAATATATAAATTATTTACTAACTTGTATAAATTATAAAATTGTACACACATACATACACACATACATACAAATACACACAGACACACACACACAAACGTGTGTATATATATATATATATATATATATATATATAAGTGTGTATAATTTTATAATTCATATAATTCAGTAATTATATATATATATATATATATATATATATATATATATAGCTTTCAAATTCTGTACATTTTATCTCGAAATCTGTGATACGTGCACCAAAATGTGGATCAAACCTCTTTTAATATCAGGAATCCAACAGAAACCTCAAATGCTGTAGTTTTCCAGTTTCAAGAACCGTTGAAGGTTTTTCGTTCAGGTATCTGATCTGTGAAGCAGTGCATTATTTGTCTGATGGATGAGTAACCTGACCATGCTGCTGTCTGCTCTGACATTTGTTTGTCAGGACTATTATAGACGTGTTTGTGATTGATGTAACTTGAGTGTGTGCTCTCAAGCAGACCTATGAGTGTTTGATAGCTGTAGTTTGTGTATACACGCTTGATCGTGTGTGTTTTTGCACACACTTCACAGTCCTTGTTCACCCTGCAGGCTTGTGCCTGCTATCCAGATAGACTCATTACTGTGATTTCTCCACAGCTGTAAGGTGCTTGCTCTACTTTTGTGTAAAAAAATAAAAAAGACAATTGAATATAAACCGAAATGGTACATTTGTGCTCTTTGTGTGTCAGGTCAGGTGTTTGCAGATCAGAGGAAGGGGCTAATGGAGAATTGCCATATGACCAATCGATCCTAAGATGACAGTCGCTGTCAGGTAAGTCAAGCTCAGTTGTATAGAGTTGAATTTTAATTTTAGTTCTGAAAGTAAGTGGTGGACTTGAGTAGAGGTTAAACGGATCTTTAGATGAGAAACTTGGACAATATTCAGCTGCTTGCAGTAATTCAACACATAACGTGAAGCTTTTGGCTTCACATTATGTGTTGAATTACTGCAAGCAGCTGAATGAAATGGCTGTTTTAAAAAATGTTTGGCCCCTATCCTGGTTGGTTAACATCACAAGTAGAGAAAATAAACCGATAAAATTAGCACTTGATAACACAACAATTATTTTTCCGTATTATTGTTTACACATAGAATGTTCGTGTGTGTCTGACTTATGCGGGTCACTTTATCAGACATAAATGTGTTTATGATATGACTCCAGATTTACAGTTTTTTTTCCTTCAAATTTTTTATGCTTTAAGGTACAGTGCGCACGAGAAATTCATGTGCACGAGATACATTTCTTGTGAGCCTGTGAAATCTGTATGTTT